TATATATTTATTTATTTATTTTTCTTCATCTTCCAAAATAGATTTGGTTTTTTTTTTAAGCGTGCTTTACTTAATGTGGTTACTGTTGTCTTCCTCTTTTTCATTTGATTTTTTCTCTTCACTTGACAGAAGCCATAAATATTTACTTTCTGGATTATTCTTGTGTTTTACTTGGATTATACTTTTGTTTTACTTTGATTTTTTCACATGTCTCAGAATGATGAAGATATATGAGGGAGTCACCAAGAACGACTCAAGAATACAAAATAGAATTTGTAATTAATCAATTATTGAATTGTAAAGAAATTGCAATCGAAAATTTTATCTTTATTGAATTGTTTACTCTAAGCCATTGAAATAAAAACAATATACTTTTCTTTTGTATTGAATGGCAGTGATGTTGTAGCAATGGGTGGATTTATAGGTATATTTACTAATTAATTATTGGAAAATTAATAGAAAAGAAAGAAATATACCAAATAAAAATTTGGTAATTTTATTTTTAAAAATGTAATAATTTCAAATCGAAAATCTATTAAAAATTTGTTGGATATTGTGACCCTAGTAAAAAATAATAAAATATTCCAACAGAAAAAGAAAAGTAACAAAATATATAAGTATATGACTAAGGTTGATTGGATATGCTATGGGCCCCACTGTACTTTTGAAGCAATTGTAGTCAACCAAAATTCGTAACAAAAGCTCCAACTCAGATAATGCTCCAATCTGGGTTAGCTCTTTTTTTTTGGATGATTTATTATGCATTTTTAAGTTTCGCTTGATTTGTATTAGTTAGTTGTCGTTTCTCCTTAGGGTTTTGTCCCCCCTATTTCATCCCAAAAAAAAAAAATCGTAACTAAATTAGTGTTTGTTTGATAGGAATCAGGATGGTTTGTAAAAACAAATATCTGGAAACTACTCAACAACAACTTCCGAAGTGCTAAAGTTGCTTTGATGGTAGTTCAAACTGGAGAGGATTTATTCAATATAATGAGTTCGCTATAAAATAAAATAAAAACAGATGATATCGTTCTATTAGTAAGAAAGATAGTATTTAAAATTTGAACTCAAGTTTTGGATTTAATATCAAACAAACTTATAGATAGGAAGGACTTTGTATCTCAAATAGTTAAAGGAGTTACAAAGTTAAACATGGCACATCCATTGTTTTAGGGGCACGAATTATAAGAGAGCTTTTTCGTTTTACAGCATTACCATTCCTCTGAAAATTAAACTCGTCTATATCCATTATTCTCTAAATTTTTTTTTCTTTTTTGATTGATATTAATAATCACACATATCTTTTAAATAAAAAATGAAATAAAATCCATCGGAATCCAGTTCTAAGTGTGATGCAGGACATCAGGTACCGTACTGGGATAAATGTAACACCATGCACATTTGACAGTCTATTGTTATATGTTTACTTAAATTATTGTATGGATGTGAGACTGAAGTTGTATGATAAGTTTGCAAAAATTATTACAGGTGTATTAATATTAGGTCTTCGGACAAACATGGGCTTAGTCAAATTAGCTAGATTAATTTAGAATCTCTCTCCCCATAGTTTAGATTAATTTAGAATAGAGTATCGCTTCTATAAAAATAAAAAAAATAAATATAAATAAAAGGTATTGAGTTAACAATTTAGGGATAAAAGTGTTTTTTTTTAAAATACAAGCGATATGCAGAGGGAGAATTTGAACACAGGACCTCAGGCATAGGGGTAATTGTTTACCCAAAATAAATAAATAAATGCTCCTAATGGCTCGAGTCTCCTTATTTTAGGGATTAGAGTTTGGATGCTTACCATAATATATGTCCGATGTTAATTTAATTAACAAATTACCCGTTTGCCTGTGTCTCAAGGTTTCATCAAATTCCTTCGTTACTTCTTTTGCCAACCAAATACGCTAATAACAAGAGTTTCATTCCCGAATGAACTCTACTTTACTGTTATTTTTATTCATTATTATTCAAACAAAACCCATACACTCAAAGATTACAGCAGATTTTTCAGGGCGTTCCTCTAAACTGAACGGAACCTTGCTATCAGGTAAACTCTTCAAAACTCTCCTTCCTTCAGATTTCAGAGTCCATAGTAAATAGTCCATGCATGGCTGAAGCAATTGACAATTTTTGTGCTTGATTTTGTGGTGTTAATTTATAAAGGAATTTGTTTGTTGATTTCTCTTCTACTTGTTTGATTGATTTCTCAGTTGTTTTGGCAACTTTGGTGGGTTTGTTATGGCCGAACTAAAAGTGTACCAAAGGAGGGAGGAGCATGCTTCCAGAGGCAATGCCATGGAAGAAAAACAAGTACAGAAACATAATTTTTTGTTCCCACCCACGCCTGTAAAGCCCATTACACGAAGGTCACAAAAAACCTATGGTAGAAGAGGGTTGAAGAAAAATTTGAGCCGCAATAGTTTACTGATCACTGATTCCCAGTTGGACCTGGAGGATTCTAATGAGGTTTCTTTGTTTTCTTCTGCTCCAAGTTTTTCAGAGGAAAACAAGGGATTGAGTAACCCAATTGCAGCTTTGCCCACAAAGGAAAAGGTACATAATTGCAGTGGAATTACAGACACAAATTTGGGTTTTGTTGACTTGTTTGATTTGAATAAGATTGTGTTGGAGTCTGATGACACAAATTATGCTTATATGGACTCTGAGAAAACAAGCAAAGGTTTTCTGGAAGCAGAATTGGCAGTAGAACACGTTGCAAATAATGATAATGAAGTTTTGACAATGTGTGAGGAACAGCTCTTGCAAGGGAGCAGTGTAACTTCTCCAACTCCTCAGTCATCTCCCAGTGCAACAGAAAGGAGCTCCTTTGACATGATGAGCACTTGTTTCTCTCAAGTTGTGCAATCTCATATTGATGCAGAAAAGCCAAAGGAGCCAATTGGAAATATGTTGCCTAGTGTAGAGCTGTGGCTTGGTCCTGCCATCCCAGATTCCATGTCACAATGCAAGTCCGGTAAGGATTCTCTTGAAGCGGATTTATTTTATTTTATTTTATTTCATTTAAGCAGATTTTAATGGTTGATTTTTCTTGATTGTTCTCCACTGTGTGGTGGATCTCTTGAATTGGATTTATTTGTTTTCAAAATCTAGAGATTTTCTTGGAAGAGTGGGTCTTCTCCCTTTAAGAATACTTAATAAATAATGAACAATTGGCTTGTGTTTATTAAGCTCTTAAGATTTCAATTTTGAGGAAGGATGGAAAAAGAGGAGAAAAACAAAGGAGAGGATCCTCTTCGTTCATCTAATACTGCTTATGGATTGAAAATTTGTCTATTCAGCCAAAAAGTAAATCAGTTGAGGAATAGAATTTTATAATGTTAACATGAATTTTACAAGCCCGTTTGTGGGTATTGGAATGCATTCATTTAACCTGTATCGGAGTAATATCTATTACAGTTTCAGACACATTCTCATATACTTTCAGTTCTTACTGATAGTATTGGTAGCTTTCATATTCTGAGATAGGTTATTTGACTGCAGATGATCAACAAAATCAGAAAAAGCAAGAGAATCATACAAAGAATGACGATTGCAAGTTCAATGCTGCAAACTGTATTGGTGGCTCAGCATTGCCTAGCACTTCAAGCCTATCAGGGAAAAAGAATAACTTGAAAAGAAGACCAGAGGGTGGAAAAGATTTGAACGGAAGGCCACAGAAGAGACGAAAGAAGAGAGGATATAGGCCGAGAGTGGTTGGTGTAGGAAAGCCTAGAAGGACTCTGGAGCCTAAGACACCACAGAAAGCAACACCAAAACCAAAGACACCAAAGCCTACAACTCGAATGCCTGCTTCTTCCAAGACAAATATGTCAGTAAAGAAGTCTTCAAGCAACCTCAAAAACTTGGTACCCAAAGAAGTCTCTGTGGATAAAGTTGACCTTTCTGTATCAGACAGACCTACTCTAAACATCGACCTTCAAAATCAATCAAATGATGAATTAGCCACCCCTCCGCGAAAAGCTAGAATTGGTCGCCAAAAAGCTAAGGATAGCTCCCTTGATTCAGAAGGCAGCAGCTATTTTGCAGCAGTTGATGCTGAAGCAGGGAAGTTGGTGGGAAACTGCATCAACCAGAACGATTGGCAGTACAATGCATTTCAAGTTGACCAAAAAACTTTCCTAGTAAATCAATGCCTCAACTCTAGCAGAAACCTTGGTCTGAATTTTCCTAAGATATGCAGGAAACAAAGGATGAGGAGGAGGAGATGGAACGTAGACAGGTGGTCAGTATTAGCAAGTAAGTTTCATGAGAATGCAAGCCATGTTACACTGAGAGGTACTAACAAGAAATCAGTCCCGAAAAAGAGTCAAAAAGAAATGTTCAATATGGTTGGCTACAAAAACCATGGAAGGCTGCGATACCAAACAACAGAAATCATAGATTTAACTGATGGACTGCAGTCACTAATTAAGACAAAGAACAAGAGATCAAAGGGGCGTACTGTGGTGAACTTTGCTGGTCTAACTGCAACTCCAATTTGCAACCAGTTGCCCAGAGCCCTTCTCAGAGAAAGAGTTAGTGAAAGGCAAGAAACTGAGACTTTTCAGAGGCTGGATGCTAATAAAGCCGTGTTATTTGCAAATGAAAATGGAGGGGCGGTGACAGATAAATGGACTGATATGGGACATTCCCTTGTCAATTTAGAGCTTCATGAGGGTCCTTGCTTCACCAACTTAAGACGTAATTATGTTTGGCATAGAGCTCTTTCTTTTTCCTTTTTCTTTTCTCTGCTTTTTTTTCCTTTTTTATTTTAATTTTTAAAGCAGAAGATCTCACTTCAAATTCAGGTATTATTTACTTCAGGAAGCTTACAACTTTCACTTATTTGCAGAACATGAATGCGAAGAAGGGGCAGCAGAAGAGAGGTTGACTAAGATGGTACCCTCCCTTCTTAATTTAGAGTTTCGTAATGATAAAACTGACAGAAGCCTACTGCAAAATGAGACAATGCAGCTGACTGAAAAATCAATAGGTACTTGGTAGAGATTATTTTTCTTTTCTAGAAGCATATGCTACAGAAGCAAATTCAAGAAGCACACTGCACTTTAATCCATTTTTTAAGCTTCTATTTTGCATTCCATGCAGATTCACCGGAAGACAATATCAGTCCACTTGTACAGAAATGTCCATATGTGAGCCATGGAGGTAACCATGACCAAGATGCACATGTTGCAAGGAACGACCAGGGAATACTAGTTCCTTATCAAGGACAACGAGATCAGGGTACAAATAGTCCTCATGGTCAGCTTGGGATGTTAGCTGACAAGGGAAAGAACAACAAAAGGCTTGCAGAGCTTTCTGACGCAGAATATGAACTAGCTTTGACATGGAAGGTTCAAATGGAAGACAAGGTTAATGAGGATCAAAGGAAAGAAGGTGATGAGGATTGGTGGAGGAATGAAAGAGAAGTCTTTCATGGACGGATTAATCTACTTATATCTCGGATGCACATAATCCAGGGTACAAGCCCAGCTAATACTTGTTGAAAATGTTACAGAGAATTATATGCAAATTTCCTAACAGTAAAATTATTTTCTGAGCAGGAGATAGGAAATTTTCACCTTGGAAAGGTTCTGTGGTGGACTCAGTTGTTGGGGTTTTCCTAACTCAGAATGTGTCAGATCATCTTTCAAGGTAACTTCACATTTGATAAACTAAATATTTTTCTGTTGGAGGTTCATAATGAGACTTTTAACTTCATATTCTCTTCTACAGCTCTGCCTTCTTGTCACTTGCCGCCAGATTCCCCTGTCAGTCTACTTCCAACAAAACAGATTGTAAAGACATCAACATGGTAGGCAACCAAGAATCGATTGGGAGTAGCATCGTTTCTATCATTCCAGTATCTGATGAGGAGTTGCTCACATGTGAAGCTGCAGAGTGTGGAAATAAGGAGTCAAGCTCTGACGAATCAAATGACTTTGAAGGGGCGTCAAGGTCTCGGTGCGGTTCCTACAAGCCTCCAGAGGTTTCCCAAATCCATTTCAATGAAAAGGTAGATCATGTGGAAATCTTGGAAGACAGTTTAGTGTCCTATAATCCCCAAGTTCAGCAGAACCTTTCAACAGAAGTTGGTTTTCATGCATCAGAAGGGATGTCTAGTCTGCCACCAGAGTGTAGCTCACCAACGAAGGATGAGGGGGCTGCACTCTATTATGTAAATATGCCACTTGATAAGCCTGAGAGCACAACTGATACTACTATGATCCAAAATCCGAAACTTTGCTCGCAGCCACCTAATGATGCCAACAGCTTCAACCAGAAAGAACAGAAGGGAAACAAACTGAATTTAAAACAGCGACAGTCAGACATGAAATCTGGCGAGACAAAGAAAGCTACTCGAAGAGGAAAAAAAGAGAAGGCTATAGTGCAGGCCAAAACTGATTGGGAGTTTTGCAGAAAGATCTATGGTACCAGTGGAGAAAGAAATACAAATCACATAGACTCAGTAGACTGGGAGGCAGTTAGACACGCAGAAGTTGGTGAGATTGCTCACGCTATCCGAGTGCGTGGCCAACAAAATTTGATTGCTGAACGAGTCAAGGTAAATCAAATTATTCCTCTTCCAAAATAGGATTGCATAGTTTATTTTATTTTTGAACAACTATGGAAGTTACCTATTTTACTCACTGTTGCAGAAGTTCCTTAACCAAGTATATCAAGACCATAAACAAATAGACCTCGAGTGGTTGAGAAATGCACCACCTGCGCTAGTGAAGTAAGCATACATTAACAACACAAACATGCTAAAATGTTTCTGTTAGTTCATTCTAGTTATATGTATTTGTCAAAGTTTGATCATTCAACCATCTGTAATTGTAGGAAATACTTGAGAGACATTAAGGGTATTGGCTTGAAAAGTGTGGAGTGCGTGCGGCTTTTGACACTCCAGCATGTAGCTTTCCCGGTATGATTTTAATGGGCATATTGTTTAGGTGGATGTAATTTGTAAATGTTTTATTAAAAAATGTATTCTTTTCTTCTAATAGGTGGACGTAAACGTTGGCCGGATAGCGATTCGTCTAGGATGGGTTCCTCTTCAACCATTACCTGAATCGCTTCAGATACATCTATTAAAAGAGTAAGTACAAAATATACTAACAAGACAAATCACTTGTATTTCCAATGACATTATAAATTTTCTATGTGCAGGATGCCTGTGTTTGATTCAGTTCAGCAGTATCTTTGGCCTCGACTGGAGACCTTGGATCCGTTAACTTTGTAATCCCAAAATTTTACCTTTAAGATTATTTTTATCTTGTGAAATCACCTTTAATAAATTAAGAATTGTACTCATTTTAGTATATTATTTTCAACAGGTATGAACTGCATTATCAGATGATAACCTTTGGAAAGGTATATCTCTTCAGAGCATATATTTGCAAAAATGTGACCTCAAAATTGGTTAGACGAAAATTCTAAATTTGTATTTTAATATTTATGCAGGTTTATTGCACAAAGAAAAATCCAAATTGCAATTCTTGTCCGATGAGGGGAGAGTGCAGACACTATGCTAGTGCATTTGCCAGGTTTTCCTCAAATTTGAAAATGAGATCACAACACATGATGAGATTCAGGATATCACTTCACTAAGCATTCGAAAATGGAAATTTGGATGTTGCATCACAAACTATGGAAACTAAGAAACATAATGAGACACTAGTTGTAAGTTGTAACTCTTAATCTCACTAGGTATGATATGTATCTAATGTACATGTTTGATGCAGTGCAAGGCTTGCCTTACCAGGGACGGGAAAGAAGGCGAGGCAAACTAAGAAAGATAGTTCTACTGCTCCTCCGATTGTGGGTCTTGAGGCACTCAATTCAATAGCACTATCCTTTCTTGAGGCCAACCGTGAATCAGAATACCAAACCAAAAGTTGTGAACCTATCATTGAGGAACCATCATCACCACAACCTGAACCTACAGAACTACCAGACATTGAAGATCTTTGTCGCAGTGACCCTAATTACATTCCAACAATTAAAATGAGAGATGGAATTTTCTCAGGAAATTTAAAGCCATTCATGGGTGTGTTTCGAGAAAATCATATGCCAACAGAATTAGTTGCTTCACAAACTGCTCACATCCCAGCTCCCAAGCTGAAGCTTGTTGACCGTTTAAGGACAAAACACCTAGTGTAAGTTGGGTTTGACCTTTTTTATTTTTATTTTTATTTTTATTTTGTCTGAAAGACCTTTTTTATTTTCTGTAGAAAGTTTTCAAATTCATGTGAACAATAAAAGGTAGTAACTTAACAAAGTGATTGGATAAATTGACTAGTCCGATCTCTTTGGTATTACAATGCAATAGACATACCATAGGTGGTTTGGTTATCCAATAAACCTTGATCTGTTTTATAATTTTACTTTTGGATAATTATTTGATGGCCCCTTCATTACATTGTAACTAATTTTAATTATCATGCAGCTATGTAGTTCCAGACCATCATCCTCTATTGGCAGGGGTAAGTCAGCTACTCTTTTCCTGTTCAATGAACTTTCATCTGCATAGTTGTTTATTAACTTCTGAAAGTATGAACGTCGCAGTTTGAGACAAGAGAGGACAATGATCCAAGCCCATACCTTCTTGCTATATGGACATCAGGTACAACCTTACTTCCAGAAAACATATTCTACAATTGTTAAGTGTTCAGAAAGATTCATGTTTTCGACAGTAAAAGGACTATGATGTCTAAGATGAGAGTTTCCCAACTTGAAAATATGGTACAATCTTTGAATATGTGCTAATCAATTATTTGTGGAAATGTCAACGTCAGATCAAACTTCAAATTCATCTCAATCACCTCAGAAAAGATGCAATTCCCAGGAGTCTGGAGAACTGTGTATTCGTGAGAAGACATGCTTTTCACACAGCAGTCTTCCAGAACAAGCTTCTGATACAATTCATGGCACAATTTTGGTGAGTAACAGTCGGGATCTACGAGCACTTGTGCACACTATTACAGTTTCAACTTGCAGTAAGTACTTTAGACAATTATGTAAAAGGACTAACACATGAAACAGATACCATGTCGAACAGCAACCAGGGGGAGCTTTCCACTCAATGGGACATACTTTCAAGTTAATGAGGTGAGCTTGCTCAAAATTTCTCCAATGATTCATATTCTGTCTGTCAGCATATAAAATTATCAATAGTGTTTTAGATCAAGCTACTGTGCTAAAGCACATATACTATATAACATCCTTTTGCAGGTATTTGCTGACCATGAATCCAGTGTACGCCCGATTAACGTTCCTAGATCATGGATATGGAGACTAGATAGGCGAATTGCATACTTTGGAACCTCAACAAGTACAATCCTCAAAGGTGAATAATCCATACACTAGATGAGTTGTATGTATTATATGTAGAGTGATTCTCTCATGCAAGACAGTTTGGCATGCTATTTTGCTAGATTGTGATAGGACCTTTGATATGGTGAATCATGTCTGAGCGTGCAATGCAATCTCTGCATTGTCCACAATTGAGATTGACAAAAGCCAAACTCTCTGAAAAGAGAGTATCACTCACACTATAAAGAGTCAAACAAATGTCTCAAATATTTCTTCTTATTGCAGGCATAAAAACAGCGGAAGTTGGGGAATGCTTTTGGGCAGGTTTTATGGGCGTGAGAGCATTTGACCGCAAAACACGCACCCCTGAAAACCTCTCAGAAAAGTTCCACATTTCAACAGCCAAGGCTGGAGGAAAGAAAAACAAAAAAGAGGACTAGTAATGAGTAGGAGGAGATGATGCTGCAGACACAAGCTGAAATAGCGTGCTTAAAAATGTTGCAGTTCTGTAAATAGGTACACCTTATAATTCTCTAGCATAACATGGGAGTCAACCCTGGATGCTAAGGTGTGACTCCAGTACAGTGGAATCTAATTTTTCTTACTTAAATCCTATCAACAGTTCTATTTGAAGCCTCCAATAAGAAAGAAAGAGAGGTAATATTTATAGATTTCACATTCAGAAGAAACCCTTTTGTTTATAGATTTCAGCATAACTTCTTTTGGTCTATTTGAGCTTGTAAATTTGTAAGCTTCAAAGGAAATCAACCAGGACGAACCTGTGGTTGGTTCTAAAATAAGGAAAGTTTTCAGCTGGTTTCAAGTATTGATAGAAGATATCATATATTAATAGAGTAGAGGGAGGGCAAGACATCAAACAAAATTAAGATTTGAAGCTTAGATGCATATTATCTGATGAAAACTGTCTTCTTTTTTTTCCCTCTAATGAAGCATTTTTGTCCCAATCAATTTGGACGCTCTTGTTAACTTGGCAATTGTTAGTCGTCTTGTTTAGGTAATACTTAAATTTTAGTTGATGGAACTCAAAATCACCTTATAACCCTTGACTTTTACTGGACGATTTTGTTTAGAGGAAGAAAGGATATGATTCCTTTGGTGCCTCTTGATTGGTTCTGTTAAGTTGATGAAGCTATAAAGATGTGGTCAATGTAGAAAGAGCATCCAAATGACTCAATTTGAGTGGCATAGTTTTTTTTTTTTATAGAGAACCTCGACGGTACGAGGGAAACTTTATTAATCATCAAAATGAAAATGGGGGAACTTAAAGCCTTACCCCAATTTGAGTGGCATAGTTAAAAGCTAAAGTTTGAGGGAAAAAAATTAAAAATCTTCCTGTCATCATGTTTCAATGATGGAATAAAAGTTTGTAATTTTTATGGCTGTTGGAGCATGTAGAGGGTATGTGATGCTGAGTAATTATAACCTAATAAATATGGTAAACTTTCTCTCAGTTCAATGAAAAGTATGATAAATATAAGTTTAGAGATGCTTTCTAAAAGCTTCTACGGTATAGAGAAATATCATAGCTTTTTAGTTAGAAAAATATGTTTCTCAATTTGAAGAATTTTGAAAGCACCATGTCTGCTGGACAACCAGGAAGTCACTACCCCTCCTCTGATAAAGGCAGATTATATGGCTCTTCTGTAATTATAAATTAGATAAAGCAAAGGGGAAAGGCACTGAAGAAGATGACCAATTTAGCAACAGTGCTAAAACATGCATTAAGATTCAGTTTGATGGCTTTGAAGCTTGCATGCACTATCCTTGTAAAAAGTTTAGTGTATGAATGTAAAGTAAGGAAACAAAAGCAAACCAACCAGTCATACTCCAATGAATTAAAGTGGTTTTGAGTTCCCATACACAAGATAAATTATCAAAGCTTAAGAGGTCTAATTAGAGTTCGTAATCATTTCCAATCCTTTATTTGGTAGAACTATAGTAAGGAGTTTGTAACTCAAGTGGTTAAGAGCATTTACTCCTCTATCCGAGGTCCTAAGTTCGATTCCTCCCTCCCCGAATTTCGCTTGTATCAAAAAATAAAAGAATAAATTGGCACACCTGTGAGAATACACCAAAATAAATTAGTGCAGAAGAGAAAAACAGAGAAGGTGGCTGACCAAAGAGTGGAGCCTTCATTGCTGATTTGGTATATGCATAGTAATTAAGGTATATTCTGTGTTTTTGTGGAACCTTTCTACCCAAAAATATAGTAAATATGGAGAAAAGCAATACATTGAAAATTTTAAATAAAAGAATGGCGGTGGTGGTGATTTCATTGGCTTCATCACAAATATATAAATAATCCATCCCAAAACCACATGGCTCGTAAAGAGCACATGTGCTTATTATATTGTTATTTTGAAATTATTATAGTGCATTATAATACATACATTATGCTTTCTTTTATTATTATAATAGAAATGTTCCGTTGAAATTTTCAATTGGTGGATATGCCTTGAAGGATTAATTCAACTTTCAGGAGATTCCTTCTTTGTAGTAGCTGTATCCATGAATGTGTCCCCTATTGAGTATTGATGTAAGTGTCGTATGACTACAATGTTGATATTGGAGGCTGTGAGAATGTGAAGGTAAAAAGTTTCATATTGGAAAGTTAGAAAACCTTGCAAGGGCTTATAAGGAGTTGTGTTACTCTCCTTATTGCCAATTGGTTTTGGGGTGGAACCTCAACTTCCTTCATGGTATCAGAGCAGGTTAGCCCATGTGTAAAAGCCCAACGGCCACACATGCTCCATATCACCCAATATGTGTTGTCCACTTGCTAAGCTTGAAAATTTGCCACACGTGCGGGGTCGTGTGAGAATGTGAAGGTAAAAAGTCCCACATTGGAAAGTTAGAAAACCTTGCATGGGCTTATATGGCTACATTGCTAATCTTGATTTGTGATTGTTAGGATGCAATCTATTTAGCTCGATATACATTGTTGATTTATTTTTTAATAGCTTAAGATTTTAGAGTCTACTAATTGTCTAACATAACCCGAGCTTTCGATGTAGGAAGGGCACCTAGGTTCAAAACCCTCAAATCTCCATTCCTCTCTTTTTTCTTTTTCTTTTTTGTCGTTTGAATTCGATAAAATAAGAATTCACGCGAGAAAGAGTGTTAGCTTGAAACTTGATATAGATTGTTGGCTTCTGTGACCACTTAAGAATTTAGAGTCCAATAATTTCTCTGAGTCCAACAATTCAGGCTGTGAGGAGAGCTATCTTAAGTTACCTAATCACTTCCCATTTCTCTTCAAGAAGAAGAACAAAGACATATATCAGTACTGGATTCCAAACAACTTATAATATTATTGTTGAAGTAAAAGAATTGGGAAGATGTGCTCTTTCCTTAAGTTATAATATTCTGTAGTTTCTCATTAGTGGAAAATTTTACAAGCAGATATATTAAAATGAGCAGTTTCCTTCTGTAAGCATACTTTAAGAAAGTATGCATTAAGTGCCACCAAAGTAGCTACTAGGAAAGAGAGAGTTCAGAATTAAAAGCTTTGTCTTCATGGTGCCTGCCTGCACGTGAGCTTTTGGACTACAAGTCAAAATTTGGTTGACTTCCCAACTGTTTTGAAAGATCCATGCTGCTGGAAACCAGTAAATGGATATCTGTTATGTTATCTGTGTATAAATTTAATCAGTCCAACTTCCTACCTGGTTTTAATTAATTGGAAAGCTTTAATCAATGCCCTACCCCAAAATCACCTACCCTAGATTGTTTTTCATGGCTTTTAATTTTTCCACATATATAATTTTAGAAGTTGGCTAGCGTTGATGTGCTTCCCACCCTGCACTCGAGTTCGAATCTTCTTTCCGTAGTATAGATTAGATTAAAGTATAATATTATTCATATAAATAAAATAAAAAAGTTTTACAAGTTGTAGCTGCTTCTAGTAGTAATGTTCTTAGTGGAAGAGATAAACTTCACCTTAATTTTATTAAGAACATCAAATGATGACAAACTTAAACTAATAATTTAGGTTGAACTTGTAAACAAAGTCATTATATGATTAAGAGAACATACATATATAAACATTCATATTATCTACTAATTAGATGTAACAGTTACATTATGAAGAGTATCAAGGCTTATGGTGCTGGGTGTAGATGTAGTCCAAGTGAGCTTCAGCCATTATCCTTCTGTTTAAACAGTCCTCATCTCCATCAGTGCAATCTTCCACCCCAATTAACTGCTATAATATCCCAAAAGCAACAAAAAAACAAAGAGTATTAAGATATATAACTTGATGACTAGTTGGGGTTAATTTATAAAAAAAGAAAAGAAAAGAAATTTAAAATATACATTCATTAGTTCACTGCCTTTCAACTCTACAAGTGAACCCCCATCAGTGATTGCATTGAGCTCTACCTGATCCTCTTGTCCTGCAAAGACAACAAGGTTTTAGTTCATAATTATAGCTAAGAGAAAGAAGAAGCTAAGGCTAATTTGTTTTTCTTTTAATTTCTGGTTTGCGGAGGGAAAATTTTAACTCATGAGAGACCTCATCTACATCAAACAAAGCGACAGCTAGTTGATTGTCAACGCACAATCGTTTAGGATTTACCTTCTTTGTTGCCTAGGAGACGAGCTGATATTATTGTTGACGAAGAAATTATGAAGAAAATGCATAGGACAATAGCTCCTGAGCTAAAGCTTTGCTTCATGGTTTCAGCTTCAAAATGAGAGAGAGAGAGAGAGAGAGAGAGAGAGAGAGAGAGGAGCTTAAAGAGTTGGAACTTGAGATGCGAGAAGGAAGCAGAGGAGGGACATAAATACATGCAAAAAGCCACTGATCAGCCCCGGTAAGTCACATGAATGAGAAACCCTTGGGTGGAACAAGATAACATTGTTTTGTTATCCTCGGCCAATCAAAGTATGTCACGTATAATAATTTTTTCATTTCATATGCCATAATTGATCGAGAATAGCAAAATAATGTTATACACATTTCACACCAGTTTTTCTGCACACTGAAGGTCTCTCTAAGTGAGGCAGTCTCGATACCTCATATCATAGGGTAGGGCCAATCACCACCATCCTCTTATTATATACTATACACTCCATGCCTGTTGTGACAACACCACTACTTGATATGAGAGAGACACAGAGAGAGAGAGAGCTTTGGTCATTGTCTACCATAGTGGTCCAAAAGAGTCCAAATGTTATATGGTGGTTGACAGTGTCAACAAGTCAACCTTTCGGACAGGTTGACAGCTGCTGCCCATCATTTTCTCTGCTATATAATGCTGATACGTGGCATCAATCTTGTGTTGTTTTCTGCTTATCTATGAAATGACATAATTCTTCAAAGACCATGCTTCAAATTGCTCCACATCAGTGGCCTCATCACTCAGACCATATTCCTATCTACTTAGTTTTTGTGCTGTTTAATCCAAGCCCTCTACATATATTTTGAAATGTGTACCAGCGCACCATTCTATGTCACACAGACAGAGCATATATTTTGAAATGTTTTTAAGGTATATGGTAAGACTAATAGTTATCAATTCGTTTCACCGATGAGGATCTACGTCATTAATAAGATTGATTCTTACTTGAACATATGGGTTAAATTCACAGTCAAACATTATAATGTGTATGATGAGGAAACATTACTCTATTAAACAAATCTGGCTAAGATAGATGCATGTGGATATTTTTAAGCATTTGGTCAATACAGGGGTAATGTCTTTTGGCAATAGTGGAGGGCACACCATGTTTAGGGTTTGCAGATGTGTCTGTCTCTTCTTAAAAAAGAATGGTTATTATAAATTGAAGAGGAGATTATGCTTCTCTCTTTTTGGAAGATTTGAATCTATCATTTCTTGCTGAAGCATTAAAGAATTAGCCTAGGGAAGGCCACTATTGGGTTTGGATTCTGTGAAGACATATTTATCATACTAACTAATTCTCTAGGATATTGAGATGGAGTTTTGAAAGATTATGTCCGCTAGTCCCAGACAAGTGTGATTGGAAAACATTATCATGATCTAACTCATGAACTGATGGAAATGCTTTTGACCATGTTTATGTGACAATGGCATTGGAAACGGATCATTCTGTTCTTCATGATATCATACAACTCACATCTATAAATAAAAAATAAAAAAAACCATTTCTGAAAGTAAAACGCAGTCGGAAAAGCCATTTTATCGTCGAAAAAGCGGTTTTCCCGAAGACAATAGACCGTGGAACTCCATTGTAAGCACTTTCATTCTAAAGAACAGAATTTTGTTGTCGGAAATAGTGTTCTTGTGAGAGCATTTGGGGTCCTAAAAAAAAGTTTGTCGCAAATAACTATTTTGTTGAAGTACTATCAACGGGTTGTGTGCCGTAGTATCTTGCTTATATGTATTAGCAATGTGTTCCTATAAGCAAGATACTATGGGTTGTTAGTTGAGTTGGTTAGAGAAGAAATAGAAAGTTATTTGCTTGAACTTTTCTGCAAGATAGGATCAGCTTGCTATACAAGCATTCAACCTAAAAAGCATCTAGTTGTTAGAAAATTGACCAAACAATATACATAAAGTTGATATCTCCCTCTTAGTAGCCTCTCAATCTGCAAATTAAGTGATAAACATAAAGTAACAAATAATTAAGGAATATTCGATACTAGAGCTCTGATATCATGTTAGAAAATCATAAAGAACAATCTAAAGATGTATGTCGACATAACGTAACATTATGTGCTCAAAATTCATCATTCAGTACTCATCCCACTTAAATTTAACTTCCTTTTCAATTTTTTTGGCCTTGAAGATAATTGAACCGAAGGTATATAAAAGCTTACATATGCTCAATTATATATATGAATCATTGCTTCATCGTTTTCCCAAGAACTTTTTCGAGGCCAGCAGCTTTCACTTTCTTATAAGTTAGACATCTTCAGTAAGATTCTATTGCTGTACCATGTTTCTTTGTTAAGGAGAGTCATGTTTTGTCAATTACGAGTGCTTTTCAACTTTCAAAAATTTCAATTTTCAAGTCAGAAAAAAGAAAACTTTTCTCCTGTGAGAGGTATCTATAATAAAAGGTATAAGTAGTGGAAAGTACGTGTGGAAATAGCCACCAGGCCACCAGCATAAGTTGGTCTTTGTTGTTCTGCTTTCTGCTGTTGACATTGACTAGCACGAGCATAAGGGATATGCACTGAGTAGAGTTGTCTAGTTCATCAAAGTCAGGAACTCCAATGTCTGATATCTGTTTCTTCATTATTTTTTTTTTTTTTTTAATTCTCTTTAAAAACATGGAGGAAATGCATGGAATTGTGAAATCAAATGCATTCTTGGAGAGCTTTGGCAGGGCAAACTGTAAACTATGACTCTGCTTTGATTTATTTAACATTTATCTTGCAAGACAGAATAACATGGCATGCAATGGCTTATCTTCAAGTTTCTCTCCTTGGGGAATTTTATTTTATTTTTCCTTGGCCTATTCCAACATATTTGCAGTTGGTGCAGTAGGGTTTTGGATGTCAAACTCCGCTGACTAATCTTTCTAAGATTAACTAATAAGTCGAGGGATTATGTAAGGGGTTTGTAGCTCAGGTGGTTAAGAGTAATTACTCTTGCACTTGAGGTTAAGAGTAATTAATTTATAACTTTATAGCTTAGTAATTAATCTCAAGGTAGGTGAATGTGAAGGAAAAAAAAAAACATTAGGGCCGGTTTTTATGTTGGCAAGCCTTATTTTTGGTTTTCCTCTTATGTTGCTAAGGTAATTTGTTTGGCTCTTGTCAAACAAGTGAGGTCTAGTCTAGTGGAAAGTGTCACTGATTTGCAAATTAGTAGTCTCAGACTCTCAAGTTCGAACCTCCATGACATCTTAATTGTGTGTGTGAGAAAACCCATCTCCCCTTCAAATGGCTAAAAAAAACCTATTATTTTAGGCTTTTACGGATCTTAGCCCAATTCGAATGCTGGGCTGTTGGAAACAGAAAAGGACTTATACTTCATTTCTATATCATCTAATTTGGGCTGGGCTGAGCCCAAGACAGGCTATCGGCAGTGCGAATTGGGCTTTCAAGTTACAACCCATTGCCATGGTAGCCTAAACCTTTTCTTTTTCTTTCTCTTTTTTAGTAGCAACATATTTTATATTTTTCGCTGGAAATTTTTTTCTTGTTGAACTTTTTAGTAATACTAATTAGCTTTTTTTTCTTTCTTTTGGGTCAAAATTAGGAATGGAAGGGGGGTTTTCTCATCACACAAATACAATCAGAGCGTCATGGGGTTTGAACCTAAGACCACTGATCTATAAGTCGAAGCCATTTTTCATTGGACTAAATCCCGTTGACATGCTAATTCGCTATTGATATAATGATATTTCTCTTTACAGTGTTAAAAGAGGTTTCAAGGCCGATTCCCCTTTCCTTACTGATAATGTTCTATATATAGAAGCAAGTAGCATATAAAAATAAGATTCTTTGCCTTTTTTAGACAAAAATGTCTTTTAGCAAATATTTTTTGAGACCTACATGAATTGAGTAGCTGTAATGATGGATAGTCAATTTGGAATATCCTTCCAGGCATGTCTCTCTCATATTATTGATACAATATACTGTTTACAAATGACACCTCCATTTACAATTTACTTAAGCACATGTATACACACATAATAACTAATCTAAAAAAAAAATTACAACTAATTAGATTTCCCTTAATTTTAAAAAATTCGTATGATTTTAAAAGATTCTTATAATAACCAAATCCATCATGGTTATGTTAGCGATCATGATTTATTTTCTATGTTATTTAGGATTAACACATCTTTGTACTTTTTTATAAATACCTCTATATTTGAGAAGAATAAAAAAAATGAGCATATATGATAAAAATTAATAAATAATTTTTTTTAAATAAATAAAACATTTCCTAATCAATAAATAATAGCATAGGTTTAAAATATTTTTTACTTTTATATTTAAAAAATGTTTAGTACACATTTTGAATTTTCTGAGTTACACGTGTTAGTATACTACTAGAAAACAATGATTTCTTGGTTAATTATTTGTGCAATAAACCCAAATCAGGACTCAATCTAGCTCTTAGGTTGGTGGCGAATGTGAATAGTGTCCATATGTGCAGCCACCACCATCACCATGTGTGATGCTTCTACACCAACTCAATTTTTACACCTACCGAAAATGCATGACTTGGCATAAAATGCATAAGTGCAATGTGCTTGTGGTTGGTAAAGGGCACAAAATTTTAAATTTAGACCAAGCATTACCAATCAACTAAGAAAAATAACTCAAATTTGGACTTTTAAACACATTTAGGTTTAGCATTCTCTTAGTCTTAAGAATATAGCATTGCATTGTGTTCGAACCCTCCTCGAGCAGTACTCAAACTCCTCTAATAGTGTTCTACTTAATGATTTTTAGTTGATCGAAAAAATTGTAAGACGAGAACTGTGTAGATCATGTACAATTATTTCGATATTGATTATCATACCAATAATCTGTTGTGGGAAAAGTTACATATGCATACTATTTCGATATTGATTAATTTGTCTCATAAATTTTTAATTAATTTATAACTTTATAGGTTAGTAATTAATCTCAAGGTAGGTGAATGTGAAAAACAAACCAAAAAACCATTATGGCCGGTTTTTATGTTGGCAAGCCTTGTTTTTTTTCTTTGTTCTCCCCTTATGTTGATAAGGTAATTTGTTTGGCTCTTATAAAACAAGCGAGGTCTAGTCTAGTGGAAAATGTTATTGATTTGCAAATGAATGGTCTCAGGTTCAAACCCCTTAACATCTTAGCAATGTGTATGAGAAAACTCACCTCCCCTTCGTAACTTTAGCCCCAAAAAAAAAAAATCCGTTGTTTTAGGCTTTTATGGGTTTTAGCCCAATTCGAGTGCTGGGCAGTTGGAAACAGAAAGAGGCTTATGCTTCGTTTCTATGTCATCTAATTTGGGCTGGGCTGAGCATAAGGCAGCCTATTGGCAGTGCCAATTGGGCTTACAAGTTACAACCCATTGCCAAGGTAGCCTAAACCTTTTCTTTTTCTTTTTCTTTTTTAGTAGCAACATATTTTATATTTTTCACCGGACTTTTTTTTTCCAAATTTTTAGTAATATTAATTAGCTTTTTGTTTGTTTGTTTTTTATTTTTTGGTGCTAAAGTTAGGAAGGGAATGAGAGGTTTTTTGACACAAACACAACCAATGTGCCATGAGGGTTTGAATCTAAGATCACTGGTCTACAAATCGAAGCCACTTTCCATTGAACTAGATCTTGTTGGTATACTAATTTGCTATTGATATAATGATATTTCTCTTTGCAGTGTTAAAAGAGATTTCAAGGTCGATTCCCCTTTCCTTACTGATAATATTCTATATATAGAAGCAACTAGCATATAAAAATAAGATTCTTTGATTTTTTTTGGACAAAATTGTCTTTTAGCAAATATTTTTTGAGGCCTACATGAATTGAGTAGCTGTAATGATGGACAGTCAATTTGGAATATCCTTCCAACATAGCAGGCATGTCCCCGGATTGGTACAGTCTCTCTCATGTTGTTGATACAATACATTGTTTACAAATGACACCTCCATTTACAATTTACTTAAGCACATGTATACACACTGTCATAATGACTAATCTAAAAAAAAATTACAACTAATTAGGTTTCCCTTAATTTTAAAAAATTCGTATGATTTTAAAAGATTTATATAATAAACAAATCCATCATGATTACGTTGACGATCATGATTTATTTCATATGTTATCTAGGGTTAACACATTTTTATACTTCTTTATAAATACTTTTATATTGGCAAAGAATAAAAATATGAGTATATCTAACAAAAATAAATTTTAAAAAAATATAAATAAATAAAAACATTTCCTAATTAATAAATAATAGCATAGATTTAAAATATTTTTATATTTTTATATTTCAAAAATGTTTAATAATCATACACATTTTGAATTTTCTGAGTTACACTTGTTAGTATACTGCTAGAAAACAATGCAAACACCAAAGAAGAGAACAAGGCTTTCTTGGTTTATTATTTGTGCAATAAACCCAATCACGACTCAATCTAGCTTTTAGGTTGGTGGCGTATGTGAATACCGTCCATATGTGCAGCCACCACCATCACCATGTGTGATGCTTCCACACCAACTCAATTTTTAGACCTACCAAAAATGCATGACTTGAATGCCATAAGTGCAATGTGCTTGTGGTTGGTAAAGGGCACAAAATTTTAAATTTAGACCAAGCATTACCAATCAACTAAGAAAAATAACTCAAATTTGGACTTTTAAACACATTTAGGTTTAGCATTCTCTTAGTCTTAAGAATACAGCATTGCGTAGTGTTCGAACTCTCCTTGAGCAGTACTCGAACTCCTCTAATCGTGTTCTACTTAATGATTTTTAGTTGATCGAAAAAATTGTAAGACGAGAATTGTATAGATCATATACAATTACTTGATATTAGTGAGACATTTCACTAAGTGATACCTTAACATGCCAATTCGGAACATATAACTCTGCATACAACCGGTTGTAGGGAATATTTTTTTTTTTTGAAACATGGAATTTAAGTTTGAAAACAATTGTTGATGCTAATATGGCCCCAACAACAACATGACACTAATGAAGGAAGGCGATGCCGACGAACGTCAGGGAGAGGTGGGGAGGGCGTCATAGTGAAGTGAAGTTGCTATCAACCACTTGTTGGCAAGCAAAGGCTGCCAAAGCAGAAATTGCACAATGCTCCACCTACCACCACACACCCCCATCATGCCCCTCCTTTCCCCACCAAACCCTCTTTTTCAACCCCTCTTATATTATTTTTTCTAAACGCTCGCTCATTATGTTATCCTAATTATCATCCCCACGTCATCTAATTTTATTCCAAATCACCTTTTTTTAACATTATTTGATTATTGTTCTATTTACTTAGACGAATAACAATGACACTCGTAAAGTTTTGGTCATAAATGGATCATTTAGGGTCTACGAAGCTTTCTTTTCAAGTTTTTAAGATACAACCTTAATATCTAAGTAGTCATTCGAGCATGAACTTGCACGAATGATTGAAAGGTATTGATTGAAATAAATCGTACCATGAGAGATATGCATATCGACCAATAACTATTAATTTACCACGTGCGCGTGAGAGAGACTGCATACATCATCGTTCTTTAAAATAAAAGAAGTTGCTTCAAGTAAAGTAACTTTGTATTTGAAAGAGTAATGAAACCTTAGATTGATGGTGTTCAAACTCATTTGGTTGGTGGGTGTAGAAGCGAGAAGAAAGATAAGTGCAAGAATGCCAAGTTTATTGTATATGTGTGTGGTTTGGACTTGACTTATTCTCAATAGCTTGAAATCAAAACTTAGACTTACGTACCTCACTCGGTTTTGGTTGGTGAAAACAAAGCTTTTGAACAACCCAAGCACGAGCTTCTCCAAACATTCTCATCCATTCGCAAACTACCTCCTTGCTTCAATCTATGTTCACCTAGCCACTAAGGGAGAACCATGATTAGATTATAAAAATATTGGGAAAAACCAAAAGCTATATATAAAATAAAAAAATAAAAATAATAGTGTAAATTATTGTATGTTCTTGTTGCAATAAGAAAAAATATCTCCCACTTAGTATTTAGATTACGGTATAAAATTTAAAGTTGAATGAGTATAAAAAACTTCATTCGTAGCGTCGAGAGTTTCTTTTGAAACAATAAAAAAAACGTAAATACGTAAATGCAGATATTTGGTATGGGAAGATTTTGAAATTTAGCATATGTCATCCAAGTCAGTTCACTTTTTATCTAGATTGCACAAGCATGAGACAATAATTGCTTATTTTTGTTCCCGACTTTGAAGAAAATAAGATAGGGAATCTTTCAAGCCCTAGCAAATGGTTTGTCCTATTAAACCGCGAAAAATAAAAGAGAAATATTTGATGAACAATTTTGCCCCATGGGGCAAGAAAATGTCTTCCCCACCAAAAATTTCCTAGCAAGAGTTGTTCCTGTCAAGCGTCAACGCCAATACTTTGTCTATACAAATGTGATATGACGAGCAAACTACCTAATGATTTGAAGCGGACGTAAAAAACAAAAAACATTTTAGAAGAAGAAAAATGGGTGTTTTTGTGCCAACTTGGACAATGACATATTTCAACCAGGTTAAACCTAGAAATCAAGGAACTTTTGATTCCATTAGTGACTAATAAAGCACAACACTTTAGTCACTTCATAGTTCATAGTTCATAGTTCATAGGCATTAGCCACTAAAATATTCCATTAGTAACTAAGAAACCCATTATTACAAAAATAAAATAAAATAGTTCCTAGATGGGTTTCTTTAGAATTATCTAAAATATCATATATGAATACACAAAGCATTGAGTCTTTGAATGACAGATGGAGATTTTACAATCTTACACGTAACACCCACAAATTTTTTAAACATATTTACGCAACAGCATATTCCAAATTCTTTTTACTTGTTTGGGATGGATGGAATGGACTAAACCATGGGCATGGATGTAGATTTAGATCCACCAAAATTAAAAATTAAAAATTAAAAAAAAGAAAGAAAAGAAAAGGTAACAAAGTGAATGAGAGAGAAAACTTGAAATTATTCAAATTTTCTCCCGGGTCCTTGTTTTTTGCGGTAATAATTTACTATCAAGGGGCCTAATGAATCAAGTAATTCCACTAATCGCCCCTGGAAGGAGACCAAGGAGTCATATCCATGGGGTAGCTTCCCAGGACTCTCAAGAAAGACGTGAACTCCTGAACCTCTGCCAACGCGTTCTGTGCCCTAACCTCCGCCATGGACGCTTCGAAGTCCACATAGAACAGGTACTCGAAATGCTTCGCCGTCCCTTCGTTCGAATCGCTCACCAGCCTGATCGGACGGTTCCGGTGCGGCCTCGACTCGATCTTCGTCAAGCTGATGTTCCTGAAGGCGAAGGCCGATAGGACCTTGAACAGCACGGAGGTCCCTTTGTCGTGAGCGAAGACGATGCTCGTCTTGAACGGCCGATCCGTGCGGGGAATGATCGGCTCCCGAGCCAGCATCACGAACCGAGTCACGTTGCTCGAGTCGTCCTGGATCCCAGTCTCCAGGATCTCCAGGCCGTACAAATCGGCTGCGCGAGCCGAGGCAATCGCTCCGGTGTCGCGGAGGTTGTTGGCGGCGACGAACTCGGCGGCGCCGGCGGTGTCGTCGACGGCCTCGCGCGCGACGTTGAGGCCGAGTTTGGTCAGAGTCAACTCACACTGAGCCAGAGCTTGAGGATGCGAGATGACTCGGTTCAAGTACTCTTTTCTGACCCCTGGGAGGGCCAGAAGGCAGTGGTGGACTGGTAGCTGGACCTCGCCGACGATGTGGAGACGGTGGCGGAGGAGAAGATCGTAATTTCGGTGAATTGAGCCGCCGAGGGAGTTCTCGACCGGCAAGACGGCTCGATCGGCGATCCAGAGTTCGACGGCTTGGAAGGCGACTTCGAACTGGTCGCAGGGGATGGCCTCGCATTTCGGGTAGGCTTTGCCGGCGGCGGCTTCGGAGTACGCGCCAGGGACGCCCTGGTAGGCCACGCGCAGCTGCGAGCCGTGCATCGGAGCTGGGGAGAGGTCGGTGATGGTGAGGGCCCGGGGAGGCGGAAGGGGAGAAGAGGACTTGTCATCCGCGGAGGAGGAGGAGGAGAGCTTCTCGATGGGGACGAGGTCGAGGTCAACGTTGGTCTTGTGGCCGTTGACCGACGCAACGTGGTCAGCAGTTCCGGATTTGTCGGAAGGCGGCTGGGGCTGCTGGGAGACGACGTTGCTGGCGAGAATGGCGCAGGAGCTCTGCCAGTCAGCGCGGCTGGTGCCGATGCCGTTGTGAAAGTGGACGGCGTCGGAACGGTAGGCGCATTTGACCACGGCGAAACGGGTCGGGGCCACCCGGGTGAGGCGGGTGGGGACGTGGCTAATTTTGAGATTATTAGAGGAGGGGGGAAGAAGAGCCTGCATTGTGTTTGTGTTGTGTCGTGTCGTGCGGGAGTGTTGGGGAGTTAGATGGAATTAAGAGAAAAAGAATGAGAAGTTGGAAAAAGTTTTGGGAGGTGGAAGAAAGCTTGGTGTTCTCTCTGGAAAAGGGAACCTCAAGCTGAGAAGAAAGGGAGGCTGGAGATGGGTTTTTATATTGAGAGAGAGAGAGAGAGAGAGGGAGGCAAATGGGAATTGGGAAACGATGATGAGGAGAGAGAGAGGGAAGTAGAGTGGAAGAGTCTGTTGTTGTGAAGAGGAGGTGGTTTGGTCAAATCTCACACCTACCCTCGCTCACCTCACCCTCCCCTATTTCTGTGAGTATTTATTATTATTATATATATTTCTTTCGTATGAGAATAAAAAAAGAAAACATCAAAGTTAAATAGGCAAAACAAAAAAAATTATGGGTCCACACCGTTTCCAGGAAAAGCACTATTTCTCAACCCAAAAAAAAAAAATATTTATAAATTTGTTGTTTAAAGGTGCATTTTAAATGTGGGGCGCTCTACTTTTGTAATAAGCAAGCAAGGATTAACGTGAACTTACTGGTTTAATGCCTAGAGTGAGAAGGCAGCTCCAAATTTGAGGAAGGAGATTCGAACTCGGGTATAAGGAGAGCTGAATCAACTAGTCTAATTCATATCTGCGTAGTTTTTATTTTATTTTATTTTTGGGTAAACAGAGATGGTAGAATTTGTGGTGAATGGGGGAAGGGCATATATAATTATGGTAAGAACCAATCTGGGATATAACTGAAAGTGGAAAAGGGCATACCTTAATAGGAGGATAAGTTAAAGGAGAAAAAAAAAGGAAAAGAAAATCCAATTGCAATACTGTAAAAGTCTGTACCTGCCAGGATTACAGTCTGTACCATTATGGAGGAGAAGCAAAAATCAATAATATGTAGGGTATGGTTCCAATTATATTGGAAAAAAAACCAGATTTGAAATTAACTAGCTAAAGTAACTTTTTATTTATTTATTTTATCATTGCTGAATAAAGGAAAACTGCCAATAGTACCAAACAACTCTTAAGACAATTTATTTTATAACGTAGATCAAGTTGTCGGGGAATGAAGACAGCCAAACTGTTGTACTCTTAATATCGTGCCCCCAATTTGTTAGCAAGTTCTCACAACTGCCACAGAAAAATTAATGGATGGCCACCAATCCAAAAATATTAGGACTCAAATCTCCATAGTTGGCTGAAGTTTACATCAAATCTGTGTGAACCTAAATACTCGGGATTTTTTCTGTGTAGGACGTTCCTGTTTTGTTAAAGGATGAGTTTTGTTGATATTGTCAACAATCGGTAACATGTTGGTACGTTTTGTTACATGAATAATGATAGCAATAGCTTATTAATACCCTATTCCGAGCAATACAACACACTTAGACCAATTGCTTCTCAACATTTGTTGGAGGATGACAGCGATAACACATCAAAACCCTATTCCGATCAATACAACACACTCGACACACGTCGTATCTAAACATTTCCTAACATTTACAAGTAAAAATGAGTGTGTTCATAAAAAAAGACAGTAGAGATTAATCATAGCTAGCAACTTAAACATGTGAAACATTAGTCATCCATCAATCATTTTCTTTCCATTTTTTCCTTCAATATATTTTGTCCCAACCGAGCACATGAGAAGGATTGCTAATGTTGGAAGCTAGAGTGCCCAAAGACAAAGAGGGCTGTTTTCAGTTTTGTTGAGAACCACAATTTTAAAGGGCACATAGTGAAGTAGGTCCCCCAAGAAGTTTTGTCTAAACCCCAAGGCCCAAGAGGACGTTATGTACTGTTGCATCTGGTTAGTCTTGTCATTTCATCGTTCTTTGTTCCACACCACGATTTTCACGTGACTGGAATTCATGTGCTCTTACAAATTTCTTCAGAGCACATGCTGTTACTTCTTAGTTTTATTGATAGTATTCTTTTAATGTTATTAGGGAGATTTGACAACGTGTCATATTTTTTTGTGTTTTTGAATCAAATTTTTTTAAAACTCGAACTCGATACGATAATTTGACATGCTAATTTCGCGTATTGTATCATGTTTCAGCCATTAATCCATTAAACATTTTAAGAGCGCAAATAATGCTATTTTATTTGTCAATTTTTGAATTATACCAAATTCATCATAATTATTTAGAAAAATGATTGCACGAAGCCACATTAATGATGATAACAATGGATAAAAATTTATTGAGACGAGAAACATTACACATTGGCTATACTCATTACTTTGCTTTGATTAATGGGGGAATGAGGAATTTGAATGTAAAATCTCTTTCGATGTTGTGGACAAAAGGACTACCATTAGATCGAGAGCTATAACTAGCTATACCCATTAATTACGAAGACTTCAAGCACCACCAACAATAATTCAACAATGGATACAGAAACTAGGAAGGCCACCGTTAATCATGTATGGGAAGTACTGGGTAAAATGGCGACATTTTTCTGATTGGTGTCATTGGCTATTGAGCCACCAGTAGGGACCTACTTCAAGCAGTCATGTCTAATGGGGCATGAGTTTTAGGGTCCTACTTCAAGCAATCACTAGCTCCAGTCCTTGCACTTTACCATTCCCAATATATATGTATGGATTAACATCAGTTTACCCCCTCGAGATTTAGGGTGATTTTCAATATGGACCACAAGGTTTCAATTTCATCAATTTACATCCAAATGTTATTAAAAGTGACCAATTTACACTCTCTGTTAAATTGACTGTCTGGTCAAACGTTAATCGATGACGTGAATATTGTGAGATCCACATCTTGAATTGGCTAACCAATCCCTTTAAAAAAAACTTAAAATCAATTATATTAAACAATCCCGATCTCTTGGACCACAGGTTTTTTAAAAGGAGTGCAAGAGTGAGTAAACCCTTGAATTTACATCCAATGGTGAGTGACCACAAATCTCTTAGACCCCTGTAGTCCAAGAGATCGGGATTGTTATATCAAAATAATAAAATTCTTTTAAAACAAAAACCTACCGAGCGACGCAACCTTATTCCCCAGGCACCCCCCCTCTCTCTCTCTCTAATTTTTTGTTCTACCAAACAACATAAATCTTTGATATAAAGAAAGGCAAGATGAAATAATAAGATCGAGAAGCCCCCAGCTTGCCATTAGGGTTTAGGGTTGCTTTATTATTTCAGCTTGCCTTTCTTTATATCAAAGATTTATGTTGTTTGGTAGAACAAAAAATGAGAGAGAGAGAGAGAGAGAGAGAGAGAGAGAGGGTTGGGAGGCTAAGGGTGATGTGGCTTGATAGGTTTTTGTTTTAATTTTATTTTATTAGTTTATGTAATTGATTTTCAGTTTTTTTTAAAGGCGACTGGTCAACCAATTCATGATTTACAGTATCCATGTCATCAATTAACGTTTAACCAGACGGTCAACTTAATGGAGGGTGTAAATTGATCAATTTTAATAACGTTGAGGTGTAAATTGATGAAACTGAAACCCCGTGGCCCATATTGAAAATCACCCCAAACCTTGAGGGGGTAAACTGATGTTAATCTCATATGTATCTATGTATGATAAAATATTTTTTTTAAAAGAGATTCACTATTATATTCAATATAGGAGCCAAATTTTTTTTTTTTTTGAAATTACCCATCACCCCTTTTAGGCGTTCTCAGAAAAATTCTTCTCCCAAAATTCGCTCTCTAACATTGCTTATGTTCTCTAAATTTGGGTTTACATCGTCTTCGATGGAGGTTGCTACAAATCACCTAATTGTTCTTTGTTAAGGTAGTTGTTTTTGTTTATTTGTTCACTCTTATCCGCAGGTAGATCGTTAGAAACCATGTTTTCCCCAGATCTGTTATGGATGCGATGGTGGGTATGGCAGTGATGACGCTTCTTTAGGTGGTGGTGGTAGGGTTCGTTTAGGCTCATGGGTTGCTTTATGGTGTCAATTATGTTGGGCATGTGGGCTTTGCTTGGGCTTATGATTAATTGTGGTGATGTGGACTACTAGTTTTAGTACTACTTTTGTCCGCTTTAGTTTTGTTTTTATCATGTTAGTTTGTTGCCCTCTTGGGATTGTTACTTTAGATGTCATGTTGATGTCTTTGATTATACAGTTGAAGTTTATATTTGTTTTTTTTTTTAAAAACTATGGCTCTTCCCACCATCACTATGTACCCAACCCCATCATTCCGACCACCACCATCAAAGGACAACAAAGAAAGAACCCATACACTAGTGAAGGTCTAATCCCCAATGCCCTAACCACTTCCCCCTTTCTCCCCCATCCTCAAACTTCACCCATTAATCCCTTTTTTCTTATGAAAAATCTACTTCGTAGACAATAAGGAGGGGACTGTGGCTTGCCGTTGTGTTGGGTGGAAGGAGTGGTCCACTGGTTGTTGTTTATTATCAGAATCACAATTCGACTTGGGAAGAGGAGTTAGGGTTCAATTCGACAAGGAACAATGATTTTGGAACGGATGCTAGTAGGAAGTAAAAACTACCTAAAATAACTATTTTACCTCTAAATTTGACGGAAAATGTAACAACTTATGACGGAAGAACCAACGGTACAAGTGGAAGTTGAGTTGAGAGACTAACGAAACCAATAATTGAGTTGGAGGACCAAAATATAGGTTGTGATTAAGTTCAAGGACCATTAGTCTTAAAAAGCCTAAATGTTTTTTTTTTTTGTTGTTGTCAAAGATAGGGAAATTTTATTAAAAGCGAATAGAACAGTTAACATCCTTGGCTAGGCAATTAAACAGCCAATCAGGACAAACAATATCCCAGCTGTGCCTGCCACCAAAACGAAAAACATGAGCTGCCACCAAATGTGCAGCTTGATTACAAGTTCGCGGAGTATGCAAAAACTCCACCTTATGAAGCTGTTGAGTCATACAAATAATGTCAAAAATAATCCCTTCAATCTCCACGTCCTGGCTAGTTTCCTGATTTAACATATTAATCAAGCCTAAACGTTTTTTTTTCACAAGTGATTGAATCACTGAAAGAACTTAGTTAAATATACATGCTTATGTAATTTGCTCGATTGAGCAACTTTGTATATGACAAACAACTGTTTTTTTGCAACAAACAAAAACCTACTGTTATATGAAGTTAAAATACACGGTAACAATGTTTTATTGATAATGATCAAATCGTAATAGAAAACCTACTTTGTTAGGTCTGAACATGTGTTGATCCTGTATATGAATAATGATAATTTGAATTGGCATTTCAACATGTAAACCGATCAAACCAGCCCAATTGGTCTGGTTTTATATATTATATATTTAATTTTGATGTTGATTTGGACCAAATTGGTCGACCCAATCCGGCTCAAAATTTGACTTCTTCCAAACCACCAGTTTACCTGAATCGAACCAGCCACCTAAAATTGTCAGTAACTTATGTCCTTGTGTAATAAATG